ATTACAGTATTGCCTCAGGCCAGATACAAGATGTGTGCTTAAAAGTCCCAGAGGGGTCATGTGTTGTCCATACAAGGGATCCAAAATGATGGCACGCAAGATGTGAGGCTTCCTGGGAGTGAGAACTCCTCTTTACTCTCCGTCTGAAATGTTTGGCATTTCCTAAGATTTTCTTGGATGCCACCAGGAATTCATTGCCCACTTTTCTGCGTCATTATCCTTCATTTACCGATTTCCTTAAATAAAGAGAAAGTGTTCTTGGTTCTCAAAATTTGCCTGTAGTGCCTCACAGCCTGGTTAATATTCAGCGACAGTGGCAACCAAATGGCCCTGACTTACAGCATTTGTCCATTTCTGTGGTGTAAATATTCTTATCATGGCTGATTTAAAACTACCAACATCAGGTCACTGGTTACAGCATTGGGAAGAAATGCACAGCAGTACCTTATTCTATGGCATTTTCTTTCTTTCTTTAAAAAAAAAAAAAACACATTTATTTAGCTTTTTTTTTTTTAAATCTGATGCTGGGGATCGAACTCAGTGTCTCACACGTGCTAGGCAAGTGCTCTATCACTGAGCCACAACCCCAGCCCTCATTCTATGGCATTTCTACCATACAACTATAATAGATGTAAATAACCTTACTAGATAATAGTAAAATATTCAGAAATTGATGAGTTTTAATATACATTACCAGTTTTTAATATATTTTAATTGTAAATATATAGATTTTAATTTTGAAGAATGGCTGTGCTTCACAACCAGTTCAAAATTCCTGAGAATCATGCCCAGGTAGGGGCAGCCTCTGTTCAGGGGTGGTGCCTGACCCATCATTCTTTCCTAACCAGCACCTTTGGCCATCCAGGTCTGCAGGGCTTCTGGTAGCCTTATGTTAAAACTAGCACTTTGCCTTATATGACCACATGTGATAGGCAGTGTAAGATTGCAGCGACCCCCCTTTTTTTTTCTTTTGGTATGGGGGATTGAACCCAGAGGCACTTTACCATTGAACTACACTACAGCCCTAGATCATTTTATTTCTTATTTTGAGGTAGGGTCTCCCTAAATTGCTTAGGGCCTCACTAAGTTGCAGAGGCTGGCTTTGAACTTGCAGTCCTCCTGCCTCAGCCTCCTGAGTTGCTGGGATTCCAGGTATGCTCCATTGTGCCTGGCTATAGGTACTCCTGATTCCTAAACATTCTTGAATTTTTACCTCTGACCTCCACTCCTCACGTGAGCATGAAGTTGTCCAGGTGTTGCTGGTGTTTTACACTCACCTTCTAGGAGGACCGCATTACCTTCTCCTTCCATGACTTTCTTAGCTACCACATGTCTATCCCCAGCTCCTAGTTGTCTGCTTTTTTTTTTTAAAGAGAGAGAGAGAATTTTTTTATTTTTATTTTATTTTTTTAAGAAAGAGAGAGAGAGAGAGAGAGAGAGAGAATTTTTAATATTTATTTTTTAGTTTTCGGCTGACACAACATCTTTGTTTGTATGTGGTGCTGAGAATCGAACCCGGGCCACACGCCTGCCGGGCGAGCGCGCTACCGCTTGTCCCACATCCCCAGCCCCGAGTCTGCTTTTTTTTTTTTGAGGACATTGATCAAGACTCTTTAAATACAGGATCACTTGTTCAGTACCCACTACCATCTGCAATAAATCCCTTGCTACTCAGGATCTATTAGACCATACCTGCTTCCAGGAACAGGACCATCAACCCATCTCCCTGTTACCAAAGCCATACAGGACTCAAATCCACATGCAAAACACAGCCCTTTCTCACCTTGGGCTTCCTCATTCCATTCCAATTTGTGCTATTTCTTTACTTCTGGGCTCCAGCAGCCAGCACCTGAGAGGACTGGGTAGATCAGTTGGGGTCTCACAGGCATAAGCAGGCCTCCTCTTAGTTCAGCACACTAGAGTGATAGGTCATCAACTTGGCATTGCCTGACTCTTCTGTTTCCCTCACTGTGAACCCAACTCATCTTCAACTGTCCTCTGTCCTCTGATCTGCTTAGATGCTGGGTTTTTTTTTTTTTTAAGTTGTACACAATACTTTTAATTTGTTTATTTATTTTTATGTGGTGCTGAGGATCGATCCCAGGGCCTCGCACGTGCTAGACAAGTGCTCTACCGCTGAACTACAACCCAAAACCTAGATGCTGTTTTTTTTTTTAATTTTTTTGTTGTAGTTGTAGATGGGCACAATATCTTTATTTTTATTTATATATTTTTATGTGGTGCTGAGGTTCGAACCCAGGGCCTCATACATGCGAGGCAAGTGCTTTACCACTGAGCTACAACTACTGCCCTTAGATGCTGTTTTAATCCTGCATCCTTGTGACCAGAAGAGACAACCTCGGGTGGAGAACCAAGCTGTAACTTAAGTGCTGTTGGACTTCCAATGATGCCATGGCTAGATAAGGTCCCTAGTCTGCTGACACAGGTTCAGCCCAGGGAAACAGACATGGAAAACCACTTCTCACTTTCATAGTGTACTTGAGCGGGGGTGGGTTCAAGTTTTTCATCATGTGAAATCTATTTCACCTTTTGGAAGGAGACAGGAGAGGGTGACAGCAGATCAATATCTGTTTGTTTGCTCACCATCTATGATCAGGGCCAATGATTTTCCATACAAAGTTCCCTATCTCACGCACCTTTGACACACAGAATTTCTCTGCCGGATGACATGATCCTCCATAACTTTTTGAGGTTTGACTATTGCTCTCTGACTGGTTCCATAAATTAGCTCTTTAGACCACTTATTAGTTCCCAAGGCTTCGTTGCCTGGGACTTCTCTCACTTCTAACTTTGGCTCTTAAGATCTTAGCATGAGAGGGCTGGACACAGCTCAGTGCTAGAATGCTTGTCTAGCATGTGCAAAGACCTGGGTTCAAGCCCCAGTAACTTAAAAAAAAAAAAGATCTTAGCAAAAATCAGAGTCCTAGGCACCTCCATCATCTGGAAGGACAGGGTGGTTGACAAGGTGTCAAGTTAGAAGTGCCTATCAGAAATGTTTGGTTCTTGCCAGGTGTAGGGGTACATGCCTGCAATCCCAGCTAATAGGGAGGCTGAGTCAGGACAGTCAAGTTCAAAGCCAGCCTGGGTAACTTAGTGAGACCCTTGTCTCAAAAAATAAAAGGACTGGGGATGTAGCTTAGTGGTAGAATCCCACTGGGTTTAATCCCTAGTATGTTGGGGGGGGGGGATTCTTGTGTCCACAAGGAAAAACAAAGTTGGACATAAAGGTTTTGTAGTTGCTGATGCATTGTAAGTAGTAGTATAGATGCCATGAGTGTGGACAAGGCTGCCCAGGTAGAATGGAGTGTCTAGTGGAGGGATCCAAGAGCACCAGAGGAAAGGGTCAGGCAGAGGTATCTGCAATGAAATCTGAGAAGAGCAGCTGGAGAGGCTGGGGTGTAACTAGGAGAGGGAGAGAGGGGCTCTATTAGAAACTTCTAAGGAGGGAGGGGTCACTGTGTCATATGCAGTTGAGAAGTCTAGCAAAACAAGGCCTGAATTAGATTTGACAACTGGGGACTCACTGGGGATCTCAGGAATAGCTCATTAGGTAGCCTGGTGGGAGCAGAAGCAGTGGGTAATCACATGTCCATTATGTTTGGAAACTTACAGAATTTTGGACATCAAAGAAGCATCTCTGGGCTGGGGTTGTAGCTCATGGTAGAGCGCTCGCCTAGCACATGTGAGGCACTGGGTTCGATCCTCAGCATCACATAAAAATACATAAATAAAGGTATTGTGTCTAACTACAACTAAAAAAAAAAAGTTAAAAAAAAAAAAAGCATTACTGCCCATATTGCTCCCCACCCTGTTTCCACGCATGTTTCTTAGTCAAGAAATCCAAATAAGTTGCTAGTCTGGAGCTGGGGGTGTAGCGCAGTGGTATAGTGTTTACCTAGCATGTGAAAGGCCTGAGAGTCCAACCCCAGCACTGTGCTGGAGTTTGTGCAAACACACACACACACACACACACACACACACACAGAGTCTGAATGAAGAGATCATTTTGGGATCTTAAATACTGCAGATTTTTTTTTTTGGTGGGGTGGGGCTCGTGTTCAGTGCTTTCTCACAGTTTACCTTTAGCTAATGAATTTGCAAGCTGGTAAATACTTGAATTGGTTCAACCTAACATAAACTTGGCTTTTTAATGGTCCAACTGGCAACTGGCTGGAGTGAGTAGAGCCACAGCTTCACTTGACTCTCTGTTGAACTCTCCTTCCGGCTATTGCCTCTGGGTCCCTGGTTTTCCTTGGGCTGGGCTAACCTCACTTATTTGTTAGCTTCTTTTTCTTCAGAAGTTTAATTATCAAACAAAACATTTATGGCATACATTTATACCATGCTTCCATGTTTATCTACAAAACACCGACCAATAGCTTGGCCCTGTTGTATACCTGTAATCCTGGCGGCACAGGAGGCTGAGGCAGAAAGACGGCAATTTTGAGGCCAGTCTCAGCAAGTCAGTGAGGCTCTAAGCAACTTAGTAGGACCTTGTCTCGAAAAACAAAACGAAACAAAAAACTAGGAATTTGTCCCAGTGGTTAAACTCCCCTAAGTACATTGCCCCTAGGCTCAATCCCCAGAACCAAAACAAACTAACCAAAAAACTAATCCATTATTTGCATCTCTGAACACCTTCAAGTACATCCCAATTAAACCAAATGCTGTGGGACGCCCATAGTCCCAGCTACTTGGGAAGCTGAGGCGAGAGGATCACTTGAGTTCAGGAGTTCAGGACCAGTCTGGGCAACAACAGAGCAAAATCCCGTCTAGAAAAAGAAAATAAAAAAGGAATACCTCAATTATCAAACGGGAAGGGCAGTGGTAAGGCACGTGCGTCCCCTGCCGACTCTCCAGAGCACTGCAGCAGCTTGGGTGCGCAGCCACTCCTAGCCCGGCGGCCTTCTGGGAAAAATAGTAGGATGTTTGAATTAGAACTACAAATCCCGGTAGGCTTCGCGCTGCAGTCCCAAAGATGGCACTTTTCTGGTGAACCTGGATTTTGTTTTCCAGTGCTGTTGGGGTAGCTGCACAAGCTTGGTTCAATGTTAAAAAGAGTCTTTGGGGAAACATGTTAGCTCTCTCGCAGGGGTGCAAAGGCCAACCTTTGCTTCCACAGCTTCATCCATTTGGCGAATCTGCTGTTCTTTTCGCTGGCTGGCTTCTCAGGGGCCTGACGGGAAGTTTGTGGAATCTGCTGTGGAAAGAACGACACGAGGGTGTCTTAGGCAACCATTGTCATGGCGGCGGCCGCCCCAAAGGCCGGGGGCTCCGTGCCTGAGGCGGGGGGTTCCGCTGAAGCCCCCTTGCAGTACAGCCTTCTTCTGCAATACCTGGTGGGAGACAAGCGTCAGCCCCGGCTCCTGGATCCTGGGAGCCTGGGCGGAATCCCGAGTCCGGCCAAGAGTGAGGAGCAGAAGATGATCGAGAGGGCGATGGAAAGCTGCGCCTTCAAGGCAGCGCTGGCCTGCGTGGGAGGTGAGACGAGGCTTGTGGGGCCCTCGGGAGGCTGAGGGCTCGAAGGGCCTTGGGGTTCTCGGCCAAGAAGACCACATGCCTAGGAGGCGAGCGACCTGTGTGCCTCGACCCTGACTGCACTCGCGCCTGGTCCAGTGAACTCGGGTATTTCCTCGCCTGACCCTGAGGTTAGCTTTCTCCGGTGGAAATTGAGTCCGAGAATCAGTACTAAGGGGCAGGGCCTGCAGGTTATAAAATGCGCCACTTCGTTCATTCATTTAATCATTAATTCAACAAGTTATAAGCAACTGTCTTCTGCCGGGGGGTGGGGTGCTAACATTTTACTCCTGATACTAACATTTTACTACGTAAAGAGAAGAATGTTGAGAAGGAGGCTGGCAGAAGAGTGCTGAAAACACAGGGAACTGCAAATCCACTGGTCCTTAAGGCAGGAACTGCCACGAGCTGCTGCGTGCGCGGGGAGCAGGGAGGGAAGATGGCTTTTTTTTTTGTTTTTTTTAAGGTATTTATTTTTTAGTTGTAGTTGGACACAATACCTTTATTTCACTTATTTATTTTTTATGTGGTGCTGAGGATCGAACCCAGTTCTCGTACTTGCAATGCGATCGCTCTACCGCTGAGCCACAACTGCGGCCCAAGGGAAGGTGGCTTTTTAAGAAAAAAATTGACTTCTGAGTATTTGAGCATGTACAGCATACCTCCTGTGTGCTGGTAAAGAGGCTGATTGCATATTTGCAGAAGAGTTTGAATCTTACTGGGAACAAAAGACATTTAAGAAATGAGTAGTGGGCGAGTGCAAATTTTAAAAAGTGAAATATATTAGAAAGAAAAGAGATCTTTTTGGAGCTGGGGCCACTTGAAAGAAAGAGCCATAAGCTGGGCTGGGGTTGTAGCTCAGTGGTTGAGCGCTTGCCTAGCAGGAGTGAGGCACTGGGTTCCATGCTCAGCACCACATAAAAATAAATAATTAAAGGTATTTTTAAAAAGAGCCATAGCAGGAAATCTGGGAAGGGAGGAGCCCAAGATTTCTTTGAACTTACATTGATTCTGAGATGGTGAGAACACATCTGTATGGAAGTGTCCTGCAGTTCAGGAAGGTTGCATAGGAATAGCATTTTGGGATCAGCTGTTTGGTAGCTATGTGGTCTTGGGAAAACTTCTTAACTTCTTGAGAGTGGCAGAATCATGAGCAATGTTAGGAAATGAAAGGAGGCAGAAATGCTAAAGGAGACAGAAGATAGATCCTGAATTGTGTAATATGGAGGCAAGTGGAGAGTGTTAGTGACTAGTGCACTAGTGGCCATGGAAAAAGTCATCTTTTTGATCCCAAACAGTAACCCCGAAAACATACCCAAGAAATCTTCATCTCTGTTTTTAGGATTTGTCTTGGGAGGTGCATTTGGAGTTTTTACTGCTGGCATTGATACCAATGTAGGCTTTGACCCTAAGGATCCTTACCGTACACCGACTGCAAAAGAAGTTCTCAAAGACATGGGACAGAGAGGATTATCCTATGCCAAAAATTTTGCCATTGTGGGTGCCATGTTTTCCTGTACTGAGTGTCTGGTAGAATCTGTAAGTGTCTCTCTGCTTTCTGAGAAATCCTTACCAGCTGCTGTCTCACAAGTGATCTGTCACTGAGTTACATACCCCAGCCCAGTTAATGATTTTGAACATTTTAATTTATTGGACCTGGGTATGGTGGTGCATGCTTGTAAGGTAATCCCAGCTACCCTGGAGGCTGAGGCAGGTAGAACACAAGTTCAAGACCAGCCTGGGTAATTTAGCGAGACCCTGTCTCAAAATAAAACATAAAAAGGGCCAGGGGTCTAGCCCAGTGCTGGAGTGCCCCTGGGTTTGATCCCCAGTGCCCCCTTCCCTCACCCCCGCCCCACAAAGACATTTTGGAGAACCTGAAAAAAATTTTGGTTACTTCTCAAATACTGGACTTGATTACAGTGCTCTAGTGCCACCTGCAGGAAGCATCTATGGATACATTTAAATTTTAGAAACTATACTTTTAAAAAGATTTCCTTTGGATAGTAACTAAATTAGCCAACTGGAAGTCCTGTGTATTTTCTGGCTTGTTTCTCTGGCTTGACCTGCGCTTCTGCCCCCACAGTACCGGGGCAGATCAGATTGGAAGAACAGTGTCATCAGTGGCTGCATCACTGGAGGAGCCATTGGTTTCAGAGGTTAGTAAACAACTCTCAAATGGTTTTCCTTTGTGGCCTTGGCCAACGTGCTGATGTTGACATTTCCAAGTATGAGTGTTCCAGGGACACTTGATATTCTTCTGACAAATAGATCTTGACTGCTTCTGTGTTAACCCAGTTTTGGAACTTGCTATTATCTCTATCAGGGTTTCTCATCCTTGGCCTTTGGACCAATAAATCTTTGCTGTGACCGGGGGGTCAATCCTGTTCATTGTAGGATGTTTAGCAAGATGCAGCAGCACTGCTTCAGTTGTGACAATGACAAGTGTTTCCCAATGATGCCAAAAGTCCCTTGGGGGGCACATCACCCTCACTAAGAACCATTGATCCAGTCTATCTTAGAAAAAAGAACTGCCCCCTTATTAAGTATATCCAGCAACTTTCTCATATAGGTAATTTGGAGTTTTTTGGTTTGCAGGATAGTACAGAAGCATAGCTTAGTCCACTCAGCCCTGGAAAACCCATTTGTCCACGTGTGCAGGCCATGCTGAACTTTTAGCTCCAGTCATTTTTAATGTTTACCCATTATTCTTAATTTTAGACAGTTGTCAGTTGTATTTTTGTTTTGTTATGCTTTGCAGTTCTGGGGACAAACCCAGAGCCTTGCTAGGCGTGTACTCTTCTAATGAGGTATTTTTCCAGTCCCAATTATCAGTTTTAATTTTATATCTAAATCATAATGGTAATGTTGTTCTGCAATTGAGGATTCTTAGAATTCTTCCCATTGAAAGCTAAATATAAACATTCTAGAAATGTTAGATTATCAACTGTAAGCAACAAAGGAACAAACTGATCCCCACCATTTCTCTCTGTTAGCATGCTCATCGAGTGTGTGGTGCAGACCTCAGGGACTTGAGTTTCCTAGAAGCAGTATCTATTGCTGGGCCACTCTCCATCATTCACACCCTGACTTATCTGGAGCAAAAGCCTCTCATCTTCTGAGAGTCGGGATGATTTGCTGTCATTAAAGTCTGAATTTGCTCTTCACATAGCCATATGTAATTTATAGAGTGACTTTTCTTTTGGTCTTCTTGTTGCTTAGCTTGTCAGGGCCTCTGTGAGAAGCTCAACTCCCTCCAGGACTGCTTTGATCACCTTCCCAGGAATTTATTCCATAAACAGATAGGGTAAAAGGCCATATGCTTTCATTTGATTCCAAGGGCTGGTTCTTTTAACCAGTTTCCTGCCTTTGAGGGGCTATTTCCATAAGACTAGAAGTAGTAATTCTTTGGAATGAGAAAAGTTAAGTTAAATAAAACACAAAGACTTAAATCTTTTTTGGTACCAGGGATTAAACCCAGGGGCACTTAACCACTAAGCCAATTTCCCAGACAATTTTTTGTATTTTATTGAGAGACAAGGTCTTACTAAGTCGCTTAGGGCCTTACTAAGTTGCTGAGGCTGGCTTTGAACTCACGATCCTTCTGCTTCAGACTCCTAAACCGCTGGGATTATAAACATGAGCCACCCAGCCTGGCTGGTGTACATCTTACATGCTTCTTCACTGAAATTTTTTTTAATTCTTTTTTTTTTAAGTTGTAGATGTACATAATGCCTTTATTTATTTATTTAAAAATATTTTTTAAGTTGTTGATAGACCTTTTTATTTTATTTGTTTATATGTGGTGCTGAGAATCGAACCCAGCACCTCACACATACTAGGCAAGTGCTCTACCGCTGAGCCACAACCCCAACCCTTCACTGAAGTTTTATAGAGCCACTGTAGGTTGAATGAGAATATTTAAGCTGGTTTCTCTGCATCTGTGGGTATATAAACTTTTTGTGAATGCATCCTGACCCAGCATCTGTTACCACAGGTAAGGTAATATTACTTCTGTTTGCTTTACAGCTGGCTTAAAGGCTGGGACCATTGGTTGTGGAGGTTTTGCTGCTTTCTCTGCTGCAATTGATTATTACCTACGGTGAGAGTAATTGCCTGTGGGGAAGGAGGACGCCAGCCCAGGATTAAAGCTGTTTTCCGGAGGAGAGTTTCTGTACCACTTGGCACTTGCTTCAGGGGCTGAAGACATTTGTTTTCCTTCATATAGTTGGTGTTTTGAGGGAGCCTCCTGGCTGCTCTCTGTCTCTAGCAGTCAGAGCAACCACACTCTGTGCCGCTCCTGGATTCCAGCCAGCCTTTTCAGGGGATGGCTATGCCAGATTGTCTCCTTGGAGCCTTCAGGAGACATTGTGTTGACTGTTAGGAATTAAACTCCACAAAGGCTCAGTCCTAACCACATCCTGTCCTCTGGGTTATGGGCACGGAGGTGGCAGTATGTTCATATATACCCAGGAAGCTCCTTTGCCTTGGAACACCGTGCAAGCATTCATCTCGCATGCCAGGGCAAGGCAGAGTAAATTCATGCCATTCAACCAATTATGTCATTTTGTTTTGTTTAGTGTTCTGCCATTCTTGTTAAAAGTATATATATATTTATATTACAGTTTAAAGGTTGGTTTATTTTTATTTTCAAATTCCACAGTTCTCAAAAATGATGGTAGGCAGTTCAAAGAGTGACAGTCCAGTGGGAAAGTGTGACAAAACTCCTGAGAAATCTAGGACTGTTGGATTTTCAGGGTTTGTGTGGACTGGGTCATCTCCACCAGGATCATTAGTTTGGCCAGAAAGCAGCCCTCTCTCCAGGAGCCTAGTCTAGCTGCTTTCTAGGATGCACTGAAATTCCTTGTGTGACTCCCTCTGGCCACTTCACAGAAACCCTGCAGGGCTGGCTGATAGGCATGCCTGCAGTTTGCTGAACCACACGTTGGTTTCAGGCCCAAGCCCAGCTCCAGGACACATGTGGAGGGTCCTACTGTGGTCATCCTGATGACTCAGTCACAGCAGCTACTGGCTAAGGCCAGACATGGTAGAGGGGCTACTCATTGCCGCCCCTGTTCTCCACTATCAGTGGATATTTTGTTTTTGACCTCATGGTCTTATGCTGACAGTAGCAACTCAGCCTCATTGTGTGCTGTGGAGGCACACACACATGTGTAAATGGTTTTTTGTGGTTGGCCTCCACTGCTGTGCTGTTTTGCTCTGGTGCAGTAGTGGAGTAGAGCCGATGAACTCTTGGGCTTTACCTCTTGGAGGAACAGGCAGGTAGGCTCAGTGGGGGCCACATAGTGCTGGCTGCCTTTTTCCTGTACTGTAGCTCCTCCACATTTTCCCCCCTTTTCTTTCTCATTTGCTGTCTTCTATCCTACCCACCCTTAACTAGAATCAGAGACTCAGCTTCAACATCCAAGCATCCCTAGTGTGTATTTGTGTTATGTCAAATGATAGCTGGTGACACCTTCTTTTAGCTGTTTCCTTTCAATGAATGTAAGCTAGTACATAGGGCTTCTGTCCTCTGTGGTGAATTCTACGTGATACTTGCCTCCTTATAAGCATGAAGCTGTATCATCACTAGGCCGTTGGGAGCATTCCTCAGAGCTCTGGGAACAAATTTAGGAGTCCCTGGGTTCAATCCCCAGCACTCAAAACAAAAACAAATTTAGGAGTGTTTCCTGTACTGTCCCTAAATATTTCAAACCTAGGACTATTCTGAAGCAAGGGCAGTCAGTCCTACCCGGTACCTGTCAAAATGCTCAGATGCCTGGGATCTTCTATCAGCTAGTCTTGTGCATGGGATTGAGTACAAGAAATGCTGCCCTCCCAATTGACTTGGCAAAGATGAGCCTGGAGGATGTCAGTAGCCATCAGTTCAATAAGCCAAGCCTTGTCCATACTGACTATTCAATCAAGAGAGGAGATGAATAGCTTCCTGTTTTAGATGACTAGGGAGCCAGTATGAGCTCATAAACCAAACAGCAATTTTCAGAGACATCTGTTCTTGATCTCCAGAATAAACACAGTATCCAAGGGCATAAGCTGGTGGGAGCGTACATTAACCAAAGGAGGGTGGGCCCTCTGGGGGATACAGCTTCTCCAACAAGCAGATTAGACCAAAAGACTGACCCAAAGACATGCCACTTCCAAGGAAATTGCAGAGAAAAATTATCGAAAACCAGTGGACAACTAATGGTCATCTCTCTGAGGTACATTGATGGCCAGGTCAGTAGTTAGACATGAAGAGGACTGCAGCAGCCTGGTCCAAAGGGAGGTCTTTGTGTCGAGCAAAGAGAGGGCTGGCTTATTGCCCCCACACTCTGTCCTGGCTCCCAAAAGGAAGGTTCAAGGACAGATAGCTAGGTAAACAGGTTCCTAGAAATTCACATCTGGATGCAGCTGGAAGTGTTAAATATTTAGATTGGTGGTCTTCCCTGGACTACTGAGAACACAAACATCCACACCACAGGGCTGAGTTTTGTGCAAATGTTGGGGCTTTGCATTTTTTTATTAACATTTTCCTTTCACATGGTTTACATCAATTTATAATAATCTACATAAATTGAAACAGAACAGAGACAAAAAAATATATCCTTACCAACTTATTAAAGTCAAATATTAATGAAGGGTCCCATCCTACCTCTATCAGCAAAACTGGCAGCCCTCACCCATTGCCCAGCAAGGACAGGCATCCCTGGGACTCCTGTAGCCTGTCCCTTCGAGTCCTGTTGGCACAGGCTGCCCTGCTAAGTACAGTGACTGGGGGTTCTGGGCTGCAGTCCCTGGCTCAGGAGAACCCACCAGGTATTTATTTCCTCGGTGCAGCTTAGTCCATGTCTGGCACCCGACCCTCCCCACTCAGTGGAATTTATAAATATTATAAGCCTTTTGCATTTCTCAGCTCTTCCAGCCTTCCTGTTCTCATATTGCCTAAGCAAGCTGGGGGCTGCAGTAGCTGTCTGACACTGAAAAGCAAACATTCTGTATTTGGGGGAGGCAGGAGACACCCATTTGGGCTGTAATTAACTCTAGCTGGGCCTCTAATTTGTAACTGACAATCTTCTGGAAGCAAGAATCTTCCATACCACATACCAAGTGCCAAGCGGAGACTTCAGGAATGGTCAGATGGTGGGATCTTTTCCTTCACTTGCCCCAGGGAGCAGGGCTCCTTGCTAAGCTGCTAACAGGCAGCTGAATGGTCAGCATTTCCCTATTCCAGCGTGAAGAGTATACTGTTCCACTGGCGACAGGTATAAAGTAGATCAGGAAGGCCCCTGCCTCTCTCCAAGCAAGTACTCCTGCTTCAGGGCCAACAAACCCTTTAGACTTACCCCTGAGCACGAGCAGTGGGAGCTGTTTTCCCTAATCCTAAGAGCCTAGAATGGCCGCTGGCACATAGAAAAGCCAGGGAGTTGTGCAAAGGTTCAAGCCCCTTTTGCTGGCACTTTGGGAATAAATATTACTCCTTTCCAGTACTGAGCAATGGGTCTCAAAGTTGGGAATGGCACCTCTTGATCCCCTGCAGTGTCAACAATGAGGTTCCCCAGCAAAACCCAGTCCCAAGAGAGGCAGGTGCCTGTGATTCTTCATCCTCTAATTTCTGGGAGTTTCCAGAGTTCATCCACAAAGCTGCATCTAGAAGCTGGGGCAAGGGCAGCACCGTGATGGCTGGCAACTGCTGGATTGTGCCTTCCTTTCCCAGGGTCTGGAGCGCACGTGGCAGTTGGGGCTGCCCCGTGGCAGTGCTCGGCTGTGGAGAGTGTAAAATCTAAGGCAAAAGTACCACGAGGTATGTGAGGTGCCAGGCAGCCTCCAAGATGGAGCCTGCATGCTTCTGGACACCTGCACCAGCCACAGAAGTTGCCCTCCAGGAAGCCTGGCTCCATCAGGAAAGCCTCTGTAACTCACTGCCAAGTGCAGCTTCCCCGCAACTCAGGCCAGTGCTGACTGTTCCACCTGGCTTGTTTCCTCAGCAGCCTGGACTCTCCTACCTCCCCGGACGCCTTCCTGACCCTCTGGCTCTCTTGATAGCAGGTCACTTGTGGGTCTTTATACTCAAAGGAAATAGAACTCCAGGGGGAAAAAACTGAAAATTCAGCAGTAGAAGAAACAGTCAAAGACGCCTCACTGCTAAGCAGGAGACAGAGCAGACAAACCCCAGAAATCAGCCCTCCAGCTCTGTGCTAAAGCGTGGGATTAGTGTGAGTCTGTCTCCTTGTCCAACATTTGCACAGGCAGCAAGGCAAGCAGGTGTGCTCCCACAGTGGAGGGTGGGGAGAGGCCCAGGGCAGTGCATTGGATAGGCCACCACTGCTGCCCAGGACCTCTGCAGAACTTTCCAGGTGTTTGGAGCAAAAACTGAAGCTGCACATGCATGTGGCGGGCTGGGACAGAGGCAAGGGTGGAGGACACTGAGGGGAGGCTACAGTCTAGGAGCAGGGCCAAGAAAGGAGAAGCTGGTGGCATCTACAGAGTGCCAAATAAAAGCCCTTGGACTGGACTCAGGAGGAAAGAAAGGCTTGGGGGAAATGAAAGAATAAAGCAGGCTGTGTGCCCACACATGGTCGGTCACTACCTTTTCTGCATGACAGATAGACATTAAACAATTCCCAAACAGCACGGAGCATTAGACACAACTAGAGGTACAGAGGGCAGGAGCCGGGGTTGGCGGTGAGGCCGGGGGCTGGTCAGCTGGCTTTGTACAAGGTGGCACAAAAGATGCACATATTCCAGTTCTTGGAAGTTGGCTTCCCTTGGAGTCTGGAGTGCTGGGCTGGGGAGTTTCTATTGCAGTCTTTCAAGTCTGTGTTGGGCTCTGGCTGGAGGGGCTGGCTCTGGCCACCCCCCACAGCCACCCCTCCTCGGGCTACACATCAGTGGAAAAGTACAGTGTGTTCCGCTTCAGTTCTGCAAAGGAGATGGGGGGGTGCTGCAGGTAGTAGAGGAGGACCTGCACCTGTGGGGAGACAGGAGAGACTAAGGTTGGAGTCCTTGTCTTCCTGGCCCTCCTCATCTGATCTGTTGAGAAGAAAAGGTCCCTGGGCGGAGGACGGGGGGTGGTGGGGGGAGTCTGTGTTGCCCCCTGCCCTCCCAAGGATGGCTTTGGCCACTTCCTGAAAGCCACACCTTCCTTTGAAACCCAGGTGTGTTCGTCCATTATAGCACTAGAGGGCGCTGCAGGACAGAGGGTGGGGAGTCTAGAGCCACTTCCCCAACCTCAGTCATAAGGTCAAACCTGGGCCTGAGGTCAGCTTGGCATCTCTGCCCTGATCTGGTCTGTGTCTCAGGGAAGCCTCCTGCCCCTGATAGAAATCCCAGGATTCTCCTATATTCCTGGGCTTGTTTTCTGAGACTGAGGCCCTCCCAGGAAAGCAGGCAGCACCTAGGACAGATATTCTCTGGGCCCTTGTCTAGCTCACATGTTTTGGCCTGGGAAGGGCAGGACTGTCCACAGCCCTGCCTTCCTGGTGGCGTCATATACACCAGCTGCCCAGGAGGAGAGAGGTGTGGAGACTTAGCTGTTTTCGCTACCCCTCCACCTGGGCAGTGCTGAGGTACCTGTGCCATGACATCATGGGACCAGATGTCTGCAGCCGATGTGAGATGTGCTTTGCTCTCCACTTCTGAGGGTCTCAGTAACGTGGGGCCAAACACGGTGGCCAGGTTGTGAAGCGACATTTTGTTAATGGGCTCCTTCTCGGCAACCCTGAAAGAAAGAGCAGGGAGATCAGAATTCACTCCCCAGCGGCTACTTGGAGATGTAGGGCCCTTGGCCTTAAGCTCCAGGAACTCCTGGAAGGACTCCTGGAGGACATCTTGCCTCCGTCTTTTTAGAGTAGAGACCTGCTGGTGGGAATGCACTAAGCCAAAGGATCAGTGCCCAGCTATGTCTCCGTATATTGCTGTGACAGATTCCCAGCTTCTAGGCCATCGCTGACCTGATGGTAAAGTGCCAGGGCCAGAAAGACTCACAGCCATCTACTCCAACTCCCCTGCCTTAGAGAAAATGTTACTGATCTAAGAACTTCTCCTGCAATAGCACATACTTGCTAAGGTGCTTTGAGGTGGGTACTATTATTATCATTCCCATTATAGAGATGAAGAAACTGAAATACAGAAAGGTTAAGTGACTTGTCCACAGTCACATACTTAGCAAGTGCAGACAGCTGGGATCTAAATCGGGGCAGTCTGCCCAAGAACCCATGCTCTCAACCATTCTGCTCTTTACCCGTGATCCAACAATCTAGCTGTGGGGACTGGTGCAGGAAGAGTCAGTGGGAGGAGCAGGGGGCAAGGTGGGGAGAGCCTGCAGCTAATTAGCTGTAATCAGACCTAGGTTCTGCCTGCTGTGCTGGGGCAGAAGCAGCCCTAACTCCAGTAGGAGCCCAGGGCCCTCCTCCCTGCTGCTCTAGGGACCTCAAGGCTGCCTCCCTTTGGATCTTTCCTGCTTCTCTTGCATAATAGGCCAGATGCTGTAGATCTTCCCTTGGATGCCAGCAGGAGTTGCCATCTGTGCCCGGTGTCCAAGAAAGCCTAATATCACCAAACACACCGAGAAGCGCTGGGCCTCCACTGTTCTAGGAAGTGTTTCTGGGGTTGAGACAGACCAACCCCAGACAATGTCCCTCACTGCCTCCTTCTGACACCATATAGTTCCCACCCTCTGGGCAGGAGCCATAGATGTTCCTGCTGTTTTGGAAACAGGCAAACATTGCAATGCTAGCAGACAACTGTGCAGCGGGCAGTGCTCCATGTGCGCATGCGCGTGTACCCGCCCCCCCCCCCCCCCCCCCCCCCCCCCCCCCCCCCCCCACACACACACACACAGAGCCAGAGGCCCAGATGTGGGAACAGACTGTGCCCGATTCCCAGGGCAAAAAACCTAATGAATTTTCCCCTCCTACTCCTCCTCTGTGCATCCTCCCCACAACACTCGTCAAACTATTTGGGAATTGGTTGAGGCTTTGGTTCTGGCCAAACCAGAGGGAAAATGTCTCATAATGGGAAAAACAAGACACCAGCCCCAGGCACATCCAGGTCTCCCTCCCTCCAGAGCCTGGCCTGGCTGCACTGCAGCAGGCGCCTGGGCCTGAGGGTGGGAAAGCTCAGGGGGCGAGGGTGCTGGTCCACAGAGAGGCCCTCTCAGGGCTCCCTGGTTGTGGCTGGCACGTTGATTTAAAGGACACCTAAAGGGGCTGGGGATGTGGCTCAAGCGGTAGCGCGCTCGCCTGGCATGCGTGCGGCCCGGGTTCGATCCTCAGCACCACATACAAAACAAAGATGTTGTATCCGCCGATAACTAAAAAATTCTCTTTAAAAAAAATAAATAAAGGACACCTAAAGTACTTTAAACTACTATGTATAGCTATAAAGCTCTAATAACAAACAAAAAAATTTAGAAGGGCTGGAGATGTGACTCAGTGGTTTAGCATGCCTAAATTCAAGCCACAGTACCCTACCACCACCAAAAAAAGGGACACCTAGTGACATCTCTTCCTCACCCATGCCTGAATTAATCCTGGGCTCAAAAGTAATTCAGGTGATTCAAGGACACTTTATGGCTAACTTCTAATTCTGAACCCTGAGGCAGCACCAGCTTGGTTTGCCCTAACCAGGGAAGTTGAGAAGGGACTTAGTTTAGGAAAATGTAGGTGCTAGGCACAGATCTGTAGCTAACCTAAGCAAGTCCCTGTGGGCTTGGGGAATCGCTTTCCCTGTCTATTAAATGAGGCATCAGTGGAGACCAGTGGGTTTCAAACTCAACCGACTCAAAAAAACAAACACATTTTATGATGCAACCCAGTATACACACGTCTATAGTAACTGAACAAAATGGCACTTACACTTCCTGCTGCAGTGTACCCTGATGCTGCCCTTTCTATTCACTTAAAAAATGCTAAAACTAACTGACAGGTTGAGGCCCATTAATTGTAAAGTTCTCCGACAGCCCACAGCTCTAGTCTTACCATTCTGAGCACTTCATGGCCAGTGCCTGAGGCCTTTGTTAGGACCCACATATTTCCCAAAACAAGCTGTGTGTGCAGGAAGTTGAAAAGCAAACTCTTGCACTGTTGTGGGTGGCCTAATAGAAGCCAGTACCCACTAGGAGGTGCTGAGAAGATGGGGTTCCCTAGCGGGACATGTGGGGCTGCCTTGGGTCTCTGGCCCTCCCCTTCGAAGACCGGTCTCATTACCTTTTCAAGTGTTCCAGCAGGAAGAGGAAGGTGATGAGGTTGGGGTCGGGCAGGGAGCGGAGCAGGTGCATCATGCAGTTCTCCTTGGCGGCAGGGTCTGACAGGGCTGTGGGGAAAGAGGGGCTAGAGCAGGGCTTGGTTCCTAGAGAACCCCTTGCCAGAGCTCCTGTGGCCACCAGGCTGTGAGACCCGGACAAATCCAGGCTGCTGGTGTTCAGGGGAGTAGATCCCATAGGGGAGGCCTGGCATCTGGGTGGTCTGTTAGCAGCAGGTTCCTCCAGGAGGCCCTCCCATGACTGGTGACTAGGCCAGAAGGCAGGCTGGTGAGAGCAGTCCCTTTCCATCCCTCCTACACAAATCTTTGTCCCCAGTGCCACTCCACTCCCAGTCTATATGCTAGGTTCAAGCCAATGGTGGCAGTTCTGCCAGGGGTGGGGATGTTCTATTAACCACCTCTCCCCCAGGGGTCCTCACCCCCCAGGGGCCAACACCCTGCCTGCCCCAGGAGAAGGAAAAACAGGAAGGATGCACCAAGCCTGGATCTGGCCCAAGCAGGTGGAGGCAAGAGCCCTGCCCTCAGCAGAGGCGAGGAGAGAGCAGCCCTGGAAAACACAGCACAAGCTGTCCCCAGTGCCTTCTGGCTCACACCAGCCTCTTCCTTGGCTCCGGGTTGCTGGCTTCTGACTGCTCACCTCAGGGCAGTCTTCCCTAGATATCTCTGGTTTCAAGCAAGCAGGTCAGTGTGCAAAGAGGACAAATGGAGGGCTGCCCATGGGGACGTGAGGGAAGAGAGGCAGGCCAGAGAGGCCCCAGCCTCTGCACCAGGCCCAGCAGCCATATAGCCAGCTGGTGCAATGGACAGGCCAACGAGCAAGGGAGGCCACAGTCCCTTGCTCTTTACTTCACTGGTCAGGAAGGCCCGGCTCAGCCCAGTCCAGCCTCAAGACCCAGGAGCCTCACCGATGCCTTCCATAAAGGCTGGGTAAAGTCGGTCTGTGAGGAGAGGCTCAGGCAGTTCCCGGAAATACAGCTTGAGGGTGCCAGCAATGGCATTGATGTCCATGTCACTCAGCATTAACAGGATGTCCTTGTTATCTATAGGGGAGGGGGAAAGGTCAGGGACTGGCCTCCAAGTCATCCCTCTCCCCCACATCCAGCCTTTAGCCCTTTCCAGCCCCACAGGGACTGTCCCAAGACAGACCACCACCCACTTCTCTGCCTCTGACTTCCCCCAGAAAGGTAGGACATAGGTAGTACCCACAGGATCTGTGAGCAAGCTCTGTTGACTGGGGTGGGGGAGACAGAGAGACAGGCTAGGTTCTGTCTGCCATGGCTTCCCAGGAAAGGAGGGGAGGGAGAATAACTTATCATCCAGAGTCCTAGAGCCACAATCATACCATGTGGCAGGCAGCCTCCTTCCCAACTGGAATCTCCCCCCGACTGATCTCTTCTGTGGAAGGCACTTCATTTTTCACACCTAAAATCATGTTCTGACAAAATCTCAGCTTCTAGGTTGTACAGGGGAGCCATGTGCCAGAACGTTCCTGACCTGGGTCCTATCTTCTACCCCAGGCTTCCCCCATGGGCCCCTCTCCACCTGGACTCATGGCTGCTGGTCCAGTTTAGGCTTCTTGACCGCTGGGTATGGTGACGCAACTGTAGCCTGACCCAGCTGAATAGGGAAACCAGAGGGCCAAACCCCACCCATACCACACCAAGGGGCTCATGCAGAGGCAGAACTGTCCCACAGGACACCAGGGCCTGGAGACATGAGGGAGGCCAGCTCAGGCCATGGCTCTGTGATCTCCCTGCAGCCCTCTAGGCACTAGGCAACAAGCACAGAAGCCAGGAACAGAGTCTGGAGTACAAAACTCTGAGTTTAAACCCAGGCAGGAAACCTACAGGCCAGTAACCCTGAGCAAGTGACTTGGCTTCTCTGAGATCTGTCCATGTTCTTATCTGTAGCAGTGGATTTGAGACTGAGAAAATGCAGATTACATGAGAAAAAGCAGAAGCAGGCTGGCCACAAGGACTCAGAGACAGCCTGCGCTGTGCCATGGTGGACTGTGTGCACGTCACAGGCCAAGGCTGCCCTTCCATCAGATCCAGACCCCTCCATGCAGAAGGCCTCCTGGTCCAGTGAACCTTCCTACCCACCGTACCAGCTGGGCCTCCCAGACTCACTGGCATCAAAGACAGCTTTCAGTGCCTGGATGTCCGTGGCCACTCCTGATATCCGGTAGATGCCAACCTCCTCGATGCCCCTCTTCTCCACCTCTTCCACACACTGCCGCACGATGTAGGGCACCTTGGAGCGCTCCCGCCTGCGGGCAGAGGATGCAAAGGGAGGATGGAGGGAGCCTCCCAGTGCCAACTGCACCGTCCCACCCGCCCCAGCATACCTTGGCCGCTAGGATAAGGGCTGGAGGGAAGGAAAGGGTTAAGGAAGAGGCCGTGCCACCCCACCCTACACAGCCCACCAAGGCCTGCCTCTTGAGCAAGGGCACAGGTGAAAGAAAGTTCTGGGAGATGCCCAAAGACCCTAAGAAAGAATGTTCCCTGAGATTCAAATGCTTATGGTGGGGGGTGGGGGTGGGGGTACAGCTCAGTTGCAGAGTGCTTGCCTAGAATGCCTAAGGCCCTGGGTTCAATTCCTAGACCTGGAAGAAAAAGCAGTCTACACAAAGAGGTGGTTCAGGGCCTGAAGATGAGTGGCACAGTGGAACAGTATGACCTGAGGCACACAGCCCTTTCCTGAGCGGCAGCTGCTCCCGGCCTCCAAGCTCAAGGGTGGCCTGCAGTCATCAACCAGTCTGGTATTTTCCCCATGAGATCCTCCAGTGTTTCCGTGCTGGCTCACTTATTTCTAAAGTATTGTGTCACCCAGAGAACACACCTCTGCAGGCCACTTTTGGCTTCCAAACAAGCCATCTGTGACTATTGACCTGGGGGTGATTGATTAAGTGCTGGCATAGGCAGGGGGGCTGGGAGGCCAGGGCTGGTAGGGACCCGAGTGCTAGTCCCAGCACTTGGACTCCAAAGCAGCACCTACTTAGTCACCACACTGATCTTCACCCCAAAGACGCCGGTCTGCTTTTTGGATGGGGTCCTCTTCAGGCTCATGTCCCGGCTGGTGAATTTCATGGAGAATTCCACTTTGATCTGGTTGGGGGATGAGTCAGGGCAGGCATTAGTCTCCCGAGGGCATAAGTGTCCATGGACTGCCTCCAAAACACAGGGGTTCCCCCCCCCAGCCCCGCAGGAGTGCAGCAGCCCTACCTCCCAGGGCTCCATCTCCACCCACCCCCAGGTAGGAGTGGGAAAGGCATGGGCAGAGGGGAGAGCCCCAGCTGGGCTAGGGGAGGGGGCGCCAGACACTTCCTATCCCCAGGAACTCACCCCATTCATCTCAATCACATCTGTGTGCCAGTTCTTGGTTTCTACAGTTTGTGGATCCAACTGCAGAGAGAAAAAGAGAGGGGCTGTGAGGGAGGGAGTGGGGACAGCTCAGAAACCAAGTCAGTACTCTTCCTGCTAGGTGGCAACTGCTCACCAGCCAGCAATGGTTAGGAAAGCGGAACCTTGATGCTTGCCAGGCATGGTAGTGTACACCTGAATTCCAGCAACTCAGGAGGTTGAGGCAGGAGGTTTAGCCTCAGCAACTCAGCATGATCCCGTCTCAGAATAAAAAAAATAAAAATGTCTGCTATGTGACTTAGTGGTAGAGCATCCCTGTGTTCAATTCCAATAATAATAATAATAATAATAATAATAATAATAATAATAATAATAATAATGCCACCTTAATGCTCATCTTGAAATCAACCTTCAAACTTCAGGTGGCTCCAGCCCTCATGCCCCTCCCAGCTATGGCTGTTGAAGGACCTCCGGACCCCATGGAGGTGAGAATCCTCTATTAGTCACTTTTGCCCATCACATCACACTGACTCCTGGTCACCATGCTGGGAAATGGATTTTATCAGTCCATTTCACAGATGCAGCAACTGAAGGTCACAAGAAGTAAATAACTTCCTCAGCCATTTGAGCTGAAGTCGTCAGAGAAGATCTAGACCTTGGCCCGTGCATATCGGAACACCAAATGGGTTTGAATCCCTGCTCCGTAGCTTGCTATAGTGGAGCCTGGGCTAAGCTTCGTCTGTATGGGGCAGCCAGTACCAGAACCTGCCTCACTGGACTGTTGCGATGAGATAACAGGTTAAGGGATTGGCTCCCAAACAGGCGAACTCTCTATAGGGAAGTTCCCAGACCTGGGCTGGAGCTCCAGGCAGGAGTAAGTGCCAGGAAAGGGTCACCGATATCCCACACTGGGACTGTTCAGAACTCCCTTCCTCTAATTCAGTGGCCTTCAAACTCAGTGGTTTGTGCACCCACAAAATAATTTTGAAAAGCAATGTGCTCTGGAGCACATTTTTAAGTCATCTCAACATTTCTAAGGCAAGTTCAAATTGCTGCAAAGAATGTGATTTCCAGAATAATGTAAATATTGACAGCTTAAAATAAAACCATTACATCATGCTTTAAATGTATACAGTAGAATCTAATTACTGTAACGATCTGATACCCACCATCCTCCACTTAAAAACACATGAGCAAGCTCTTTGTTCCCTTGCAGAATCGCTGTTCCATTTCTCCTTAAAGGGTTCCTCCTAGTTTATATTTTAATATTTTCAAACCTTTTACTCATTGCCATATTATCATTTGCTCCCAAAATATACCTATACATTGAAATGAAAAATTTCCCGAGACCACAAGGCTCTGAATACATAAAACATATTCTGGACCTGTTATTACCATGATGAGCAGTGCACACTAATAAAAATAAACCAACACATCCCACATTTTAATAAGTACCAAGCAGCCAGGTTAACACTATGGTGGACTTTTATCTCTGAATGAGATAGACAGGACACCTCTCCTACGTTGGGGCACAGATCTCTACAGATATTATTTTTTGCTAGAGTAAAATGGGGGTTAGCACCGACTCTGTTCACATTTTTTTTTTTTTTGTCTTTATTTTAAAGGATGTAAATGATAAACATTGTCACTAGAGGAGGCTAAATAGGGTTATATTACAGCAGTGTTAAGCAAGTCTTTAATCTCTTTACATGTCATTTACCTTAAATTACTCATATATCTTTGATCAAACTTTAAAAAAAATTTTTTTATAGGTATAGATGAACATAATGCCTTTATTTTATTTTTTTATTTTTATGTGGTGCTGAGGATCGGACCTAGTGCCTCACACACGCTGAGCAAGTTTTTTGCCACTAAGGTAAAGCCCTAGCCCAAACTTTTTTTTTTTTTTTTTGGTACTGAGGAATTGAGCCTGGGGCACTTTACCACTGAATTACATCCCCAGTCCCTTACTTTTTAATTTTAATTTGAGATAGGTTCTCACTAAGTTGCTTAGGGCCTTGGTAAGTTGCTAAGGCTGGCCTGGAACTTGTGATCCTCCTGCTTCAGCCTCCTGAGTCACTGGGATTACAGGCGTGCACCATTGTGTCTGGCTCAAACATCTTAAATGACCTCTCAGCCGATAATCAGGCCCTTGTCAGTGCAGTGGAAGGCAAAGAACTAGACAACACCTGGCTAGAAGGCTTTGTAACCAGCCATTGGAGTCTTAGTTTTCTCAACACCTACTCTGACGTTTCTGTGGCCCCTCTATTGTCACCTCCAGGGTCTGGGTCAAGTCATCACAGGAGCCTGATCTTCAGGCCTTCCATCTACAGAGGGGAGAGGTGCCCATTCTCAGGTGGGCATTGAGGACCTGCAGCTGATTACCTTTGAGCTTTCCCTGCTCAGCCAGCCATTGGGACATCACTGCATACCCCAGAGACGAACCACTGCTCCGACGGGCCACCACCTTCACAGAGGGAAACTGGACCTGGGTCAGTCAAGTCCTTTTTTACCTTCTGTCTCCCACATACTGGCTGGGGACAGGAGGCACCCAAACCTCCTATGGGGGTCAGGGGGCTGCACCCAGCTGGCCCTAAGCCTTGTGTCTGGGCCACCTGTGGTCCAGGTCCCATCCTTAACAGTCAGTTCTCTGACCAGAGGAGGGATGAAATTGAAAACGGGAAATGGAGAAAGGAGTGTGGGGGGAAGCCCAGGCCCCAGGACCTCCTCAAACACAAAGGTAGTGTGAAGCAGCCAGCCTGCGGTTGCCCAGGCTCTCTGGTCCAGAAGGCTCGAGGCCAGGCGTCTGAGTGGGTCCCATCAGAAGCCCGATTTTGGCATCACTCTCCTGAAACCTGCCTCCCCGCTTAACTTCTTTTGTCCCCCAAATCCTGCCCAGACCTGAAGCACAGGTTGCTTCTTGCAGTTCCTTCCTCCCATCCAGACTGCTGGTTCTTCAACATAGGGTCCAAGTCTGCCCCCAGCTCTGTCCCCCAGCAGTGACCACAGGGAGTAGAGGGATCTCAGATGACTGGGGCAGACATGTCCTTTGGGAGACACATTCTGAACTGACCAGCCTCCCTCCTTTATTTTGCAGTGTTGGGGACCAAACCCAGCAGGTGCTCTACCAGTGAGCTACAGCCCCGGTCTGCGTCCAGCCCTTTGGAAGGCAAGTCTCTTCGGGTAGCAGCATACCCCTCAGCCAATTCCACCTGGCTGGATTCACCTCAAGCCATTCTCTTGCTCTGGTTTCAAGTGACCTGGCATTTCCTGGCAGCTGCTATGAACTGAGCCAGTGGTCCCTGCCTAAGTCCCAGAGTAGCATCTGGACACAGCAGGGGAAGGGCAGGATGGAGTTTCAGGCTGACCTGGGTCTTCTATTCCATTGTGTGCATCTGAGCAGGTCACTGAACCTCCTTGAACCTCAAATTCCTCGGGGGTGGGGGGGTATCTATGCCTACATCTGATGAATTTTCCATAAGTCTGGCACTAGAACAAACCCTTGACACACAGCATCTCAGTTCACTGTCATAACAAACCTGTGAGGTTTAAGCCTTCATAGCTGTTTTCCCATTTTACAGATGAGGACACTGAGGCTTCGAGGACTGATTAGCTAGGGAATGAGAACTGGGATACAAAATCAGTTCTCCCTGACCTGCTCTTTCTGATAAAGCTGCAAGATAATGAGCACTGTATTTAACCAGGCACCTGGGCCTGCAGGCAACAATGGCACCTGCCATCACCTGAATTTATTCAGAAAGGAGACATGAGGCCTCCTGGCACAGGGTCTGGTGCCTGGCAGGTTGCCTCAAGCACAAACTCCCATTTCTCCCCTCCCCATCAGGTGGTTCTGTTTTGGGACAGCATGTGAGGTAGGAAAAGCAACTCCTGACGCTAAGGCCTGACTCTAGCCTCTCTCTTCCAGAAAGCCCTCCCAGAGAACCCCAGGCTGCTGGAATCCTGGTTCTTCTCTGCCTCATGAAGAGCCTGCCTCCTCCATTTGCTGTGATTTCACATACCTCAGCCTTTCTGAAGCCAGCCCTGAGTAAGGCGTCCCTTTCTGGTTTGCTGTGAGTCCCCACCACTGCCATCTTCCTGATCCCTGCTGCAGGTGTGGTCCTGGTACCTGCCCAGGAAGGCCTGTCCAGCCCCTCAGTGCCCTGACAATGATGCTCAGACTCCCAGGAGGCCAGCAGCCTTCAGAGACCAAGTCTATTTCAGGATGTCATTTAAATACAGAGAAGGGAGGGTGGGGAGCGGAGAGGGACATGGCACATTTTCCAGCGAAATGATGCTGCCTGAATCGCTGTGACTATTTATAACCCCTGGGAAATGTGGACTCTGCTATTTCCTGATTAGATTAGTGCTTGGGGTGGAGAAGCCAGCCCCTGGGATATCAGTGAAGGGGAACACCTGAGTGTTCACCCCCTAATCCCACTAGACAGGGGCCATCCATGGGCCCTGGGGAGCAAATACCTGGGGGACAACAGATCACTTGAAAGAGACAGATGGGGGTTGCAAAGAGTCAGGCTGGGGAGACCCACCAAGGCCCCTCTTCACACCACAGGTAATCATATGCAGTGTGTTCCCCTAGGGTGGGCACAGGCAGGAGACAGAAATGGGCCACAAAATACCTTGGAGAAAGTTATTAACGGCTGGACGTCACTAAGGGCAACCCAGTCATGTTCTTTTAGTCTTTGCCTTTAGCCATGGTTGAATCCTGGCCACACATTCTGACCCATCCCAAAGAGAAAAACAGCTGACCTTTAGGACTGGTGTCTGGGAGAGCACCAGGAACCCTGCAAAAGATCCCAGGCCTCTGCTGGAATATTGCAGGAGTCGGGAAAGGCTGCCTCCGCTTTTTAGACCAAACTGGCCCTCCATTTAGAACAAGAAGCACCAAAGCAGATTTACAGTAGGGGCAGGAGGACCCGAGACTCTGGACATGAGATTCCTCCAGAGCTGTTTCAGTAACGTCCTAGGGGCTCCCCAGTTCAGCGCTTCCTCCCAGTCCCAGGCAGGGAACTCCATCACTGTCCTTGCCTCACCTGTTCATGGCCACCTCCCATTGCTTGGCATTTGGGGCCACTCTTACCACTGGAGGTCTCCATTCCTGCCTCCTGGCAGATGACAGAGCCACGCTCAAACCTGAGTCTGACTGCCGGGCTGCACGGTCCATCACGCCACACTCCCTCAACCACACAGCTTGCCCAAGGTCTTCTGGGGGTGATTTCTGCTGCCTCCCCTTCCTGCAAGGTCCTTACATGAGGCCCTTTAATCTTCTATAAGGAGCCTGTGATGGCCCCATCTGTGGGCAGCTAAGGATAAACAATCATGTTCTCTAGGGCTGGGGGTGGGGAGGCACTGAGCTGCCTTTAGCAAGCAGAGGCCCCACCTCTGAAGGCTGAGCCCCTTCCCTTAAAGTACCCTGTCCCCATCACTGCCACAGCAGGGACCAGAGGCCCTGAGGAGCTTGGCCTCCTGGCATAACCCCTAACCTCCCACCCCTCGGGCCTGCTCCCACACTTCCCTTGGCTCTTGCTCTTCTCTGCCCTTGGCCCCCTGAGCCTGAGGCCTGCCATCCTAGCTCTGTCCTGGGAGGCAGACCCCCCCCCCCCCAGAAGCCCCAAGTTGGTTTTAGAGGTTAATAAAAATGAAGTGTTTTTTAACAAGGGCAGTAAATCCAGTAGACTGAAGTTGTCACCCTAAGAGGCAGGGCAGGAACATTAGAAAATAACTCAAGAGGGACCTCAATCAAATCGACTGCTGATCAGGGCGCCAAATGGAAGGCAGAACCGACTGGATGTGTTTTTGGGATCCCTGCCACAGGCCGAGCATCAGGTCATGGAGACAGGGCCCTGATCCAGGCATCACGTCTGATGTGGGTACATTTCCTGTGGCTCCCACACCAGGACCACAGTGGCGGTCCTGGGCTGGTTTTCCCCTGCCCTCTCCCAAGTGTGGTCACATGCTTAGGGCTGGGTCCCCTTGAGACACCAAACCAGCCTGTTATTGGGACATACCACAGGCGTGAGAGCCGTGGCAGGGCGGCAATGGGGAACGGGGAGCTGCCAAGAGCCTGCCTCGCCTCCCTGGAGGAGGGCACTGGAGGATTCCGTCAACGTGGCTGCTCTGAGAGACCCAGGGAGAGGCTGTGTGGGGAGGGAGAGGCTGCCAGGGCTTCTATTCAGGGCTCCAGCTCAGCAAGTGGGTCAGAAAAGGCCAGGGTCAGGCTCAGAAAATTATCACCTCATCTTCCCAGTGTCCGGGCAACTCCTGCCATGTGCCCAAGCCAATTTTGCCTCTCTGGTCTTCGCCGTGCAGGGACAGTTACAGCAGGGCTGGCTAGGCTGTCCTGAAGCCAAAGTCTGCCCACCTCCTCCCAGGCCAGCACCAAGGGGCTTAGCTGACTGTATTCCAAGGCACCCGGAGGAGGCCTTTTCGCCTCCCTTCCCCCCTCTCAAGAACTTTGAAGTTCCCTGAGACCCACATATGGAAGGGGTTTAGCAGCTCTGAATGCGGCTTTTATTGAAGCCAGGTTAGCCTCTTAGCACCGGAGGCAACCTACCTTCCCCAATGTTCCCATTCCCATGGCTCAGCCTGCCCTCTGCATGCCACACTGTTGGTCCCTGGGCCAGGCACAGCTGACCTTGAAAACCTGGGCTGCTTATGGAGGTCCCTGCATTTAGGCACCTCTTCCCCTGAGCTGGCCCATACACCTCAGCCTTCCCTACCCCAGGCAGCCTGAAGACTTCACCCCAAAGCAAAAGACTACAAACCAAAAGCAAAGAAGCCCAGGGCCATGCTGGTGGCACCAGGGTAGCAAGAGCAGGGATGGTGGTCACTTGGGAATAAAGAAAGGGGTCAGGACAAAGCAGCACAGAGACAGCCCTCAGCAGCCAGTCCCCACAGGAAAAAGGCTACCTTAGAGGTCTCAGTCCAGGCAAGAGGCTTTCTGAAGTCCTGATAAGGAAATTTCATGCTAGCTACTTATGGGAAGACCATGATGGGCTAAGAGGCCTCTCTCTGGTCTTGCAGAGGTTTGGTAAAAACTATAAAACCCTTCTCTGAAACTGACTTCATTCTCCCCCCTCCCCCAGGCCAGGAGCACTTTCCGGGCACAGAGCCTGCTGCCAGTGAACATGGGGGAAACAGCATTTCCACCGCTGACGTGGCTCAGTGTGGACTCTTTCCTCAGGCCTCACATCTGCAGAGTCTCGAATTCGCCACCCGTCATCGACAGTAAATGGCATGTCCACTGCTGTGCACAGCACGCCAGGCGCGTACCACACACCCTGACGTTGATGGACGGGAACCTGGCACCTCCAGAAGTCCTCCAATCTAGGGCATGTCACCCTGACCTCCACTGGCCCTGTGACCACCCATACAACTGGACAACGGAGACATAGCTGCAGGGTCAGGACGGGCTCCGGGCTTCCTCCTTGGAGGCCCTGGAAGGCAGGTGGCACTGTGGGTAAGAGCCTGTGCTCAGGTCAGGCTCCTGGGTATGAACACCAGCTTCTCTGCTAAGCCACTCATGGGACCTCATCTGGATCATCCTTTGAGCCTCAGCTTCCTCATACATCACATGGTGTGGATAATCCTAACACCTTGCAGGGCATCGAGGGCTGGGAATGGCAACTGGTACTCGGTGTTGAAAATGCACCATCATCACTAAACTGCATCGAAACACTCCTGCATTGGCTGGGGATGTGGCTCAAGCGGTAGCGCGCTCGCCTGGCATGCGTGCAGCCCAGGTTCGATCCTCAGCACCACATTACAAACAAAGATGTTGTGTTTGCCGAAAACTAAAAATAAATAAATATTTTAAAAAAAAGAAACACTCCTGCAGCTTCACACTGCACTCCAATTAAAGGGCAAACTCCTTGTGGCCTGCAAGGCCCTAGGCAATCTGGCCACTGCCCCCTCATCCAACGTCATCCTCTACTCCCCACGTGGTGGCCTCTGCCTGCCTCTGAACACACCGACTCAGGGCTTTTCCCTTGTTGGTTCCTTTGCCCAGAACGCATGGTCCCTAGATCTCTCTTGGACAAATCCTTCTTATTATTTAAATCATAGTTAAAAAATGACCTCCTCAAGCGAGGCCTCCGTCTCTTTATTATCTAATCCATGACCACTGCTCCTACCCTCCCTTGCTTTTTTCTTCTTTTTGTGGTACTGGGGATTGAACCCAAGGGTGCTCTACTACTGAATGATTTTGTTTATTTATTTATTTTTTTGGAGACAGGGTCTAGAAAGTTGCCCAGGCTGGCTTCGAACTTGCAATCCCCCTGCTTCAGCTTCCCAAGTAGCTGGGAGGACAGGCATGTGCCACCACGCCTGATTTCATTTCCAGCCTCCTGAGCTCACATGCTGACCTCTGCTGTCAGAGTGTCACAAGGGCAGCGCTTCACCTGCCGGCCCCTCTGTGTCCCTTGTGCTCAGCACATGGAAGGTGCTCCATCAACATTTGTGGACAAATGCATATGCTGGGATGTGGGGGACAGAGACAGCAAAGCCGTTCCAGGCCAGAGCTCCTGAGGACAGGGGTCAAGATGCCCCACATTGCTGCGAATGACTTGGCCTTGGCCCAGGGGCAGCCCTGTAACCTCTCACCACCCAGACTCCCCCAGCACATTGAGGGTTTAAGGCTTAGGAATAGGAATCCTGAGTCATGGCCAAGACCATCATATGAACTGGATTCTAGGAGATCATCCTGTTTAGCTCCCTCCATCTGTACTGATGCCAGAGAACCAGAGAGGTGAAGAGATTTGTCCAAGGTCACAGAGCAAGTTAAAATAACAAACACAGGACTGGAAAAATGAAGCCTCTTGATTCCTACCAGCCCAAGGCCTTTCCTTCTCTAGCACCCTGTGTCACATGAGCCCAAGGGCTGCAGTGCTGCAGCCAGAGAGCCACCCAGGGCACGGCTGAGACATTCAGGCACCTGATGAAAAGGGACACTGTAGATGTCACCGTGCTGGCTGGGTTCATCTGAGGCACCAGCCCTGGTTAGGGTCCCTGTCCAGGATAGAAATAATTCCAGCCTCTGGCTCAAGAGCAAGTTCCTGTCTAAGCAGAGCTAGAGAAAATCTCTCTGGGGATCACAGAACTTCCCCACCACAGGCCTTTCTGCAGAAGAAGCCTAAGAGCAGCCCCCATGCCCCTTCCCACCTCTACAGGGTCCATCCTGGAGGGTCAAGAACAACAGGCCTCACTGGAATCCAGAACCAATACCAGTCCCCCACCACCACCAGGTACTAGGTAGGCATGTCCCAGGAACAGGGGGCTGTTCCTCAAAGGTGCCAGGCAGTTGTCAAAACTCAAGCGTGCTTTCTACCTCCAGCATATGACAGGGGAAAGGAAGCCAAAGTAGCCTGCTGACCAGCTCCCAGTAATGTGGGCAGCTGGCAAGGCCACTTAGCAGAGAGCTCAGTCTTTCTAGATCAGTGACCCTTCACCAGCACCTGGCAACATCCCCAAACCAGCACCTGCAGAAGTTTCTGGGCTCTTTTCAAAATGTCTGTCCTCCTAGGCCTGGGGCCTCACCGTCTCTGGACACTACTACAACTCTGGGCCTTTCAGGAACCACTTTGGTTGGCAGGCTCAGCTCTCTCTGGTCTAGGGCCATCTAAAAGACGGGGCACCAAGCCCAGTAGGGCTAACTGGCCAAGCTGTGTGTGGGATGCAGAGACGCTGGGGAGGGCAAGTGCCCATCCAACCTCCCCAGGTGCCAAGAAACAGCAAGTGCCTTGACGAGTTCACTTAGAGGGAGGACTCCTGCCTTCAAGTTCTCTGAAATGGCACATAGGGTGCCTCTGCATCTGGGTGAGTTTGAATCTTCATCAAATTATCAGTCAAAGACTCCTGCTCTGTAAGTCAAAAAGGCCTCTGGGGAGCCAACATGGTGGAGAGAGGGGAGCACTGGGGTTGGGAGACTGCCCATGTGGCCCCAGGAGTCAGGTCCCCTATTCTGGGGGGTGGCAAGGAAGCATAGTGGCTGTGAGAATGAGCAGGTAACACTAACCCCACTTCCTACCTGTCAGTCTGGCCAAGATGCTGGCCCAAAAAAGGGCCTGGGAGGAAGCAGGCTGGCAGTGGTCTCTAGTCCCTTGTCTACAGCTGAAGGATCACTGTAAGAATGAGGGCGGGCCTGTGAATGGTGAAGACAGAGGATGCAGGTTCTTTCCCTCTGGCAAATAAGAAGGGTGGCAAAGCAGAGTGGTGGGCAGCTGAGGCCAGGACGGATTTCTATTACAAAAGGTCTCATAATTTTGTTTTTGATGCCCAGAGCTGGATGATGGGTAGATGAGCCTAAGACACATCTGTATCTTGCACCCAAGCACCCTTGTATCCTCAATGGTAGGAACAGCCAGTAAATGGCTAAGTGAACCTTTAGGGAGTTGCATGTCATTTGCAAACCTGGTGCAATCAAGAATAACCATCAAGCTGGGTGCAGTGGTGCATGCCTGTAATCCCAGCCAGCTACTTGGGAGGTTGAGGCAGGAGGATCGCGAGTTCAAATCCAACCTCAGCAACTTAGAAAGGCCCTAATGAGACTCTGTCTCTAAATAAAACAAAACAAAACAAAAAGGACTGGGGATGTGGCTCAGTGGTTAAGCACCCCTGGGTTCAATCCTGGGTACCAAACAAATAAAAATAAAAACAATTGTCAACTTAAATGACCCACTCTGGAAGGGGCTGGGAGCTGTTCTATGATGACAATCAAGCTCACGAAGAAAGGGACTCTCTTTTATGACCATCTGAGCCTTAAAGTTAGACAAATAGCCCAAAGGGGCTCCCCCTGTGTTTCCCTGGGTAATAGAACTTAACAGAACAGGTGGATGTAGCAATACCAGTCCCTCACTTCCTAAGAGAAAGTCTTTGGAAGCAGGGAATTCTCAGGCCCACATGGCAACCACTTGAAACAGAGGGAAAGTCACCAGAAGCTGTTCTTAATTCTCTTCCACTCCCCTGGATCCTGCCATTTCAATCTGAGACCCCACCTTCAGCCAGTATCTGGCCGGGTCTGGGCCAGAAGGATCTTTGTCGTGGTTGCAGGGAGACAGTAAGGTGTTGATTTCCCCACAAATGCTTCTGGCCTGGCCTCACTTTGGGCCCTCTTAGCTTCTCTATGGTTCCCACAAGTGACCCCATTAAAACCTTTGGATGTTACAGAGTTGGGAATGGGATTCCTCTTTCAGCCCCTTCCCCTCTGAAGCTCAATCTAAGAATCTAGAAGCAGGCAGGATGGAAGGAAAGGCAAGGCACAGAGCCTGGTCTACTTGCATGTGATTTAAAGCAAAAAAAAAAAAAAAAAAAAAAGAAGAAAAAAAAAAGAAAGAAAAAAAAAGAAAAGGAAAGTAGAAATTCAAGTTCAATACTGAGAGCGCTGGCAGAACCCACAAACCCAAATGCCACGTGTCTCCTCTGCTGAACGCTTGCACAACACACTAACTGCCAAGTCAGGGGCTGGAATGAAGCCTCAGCCCCAGAATGCTCCTTGGGGACAAGAGCAGCCCTATCCTAACCCTGCCTCCCTGGGGTCCCAGGGAAGCTTGTGAGTGGTCCCCGATTCCCCTCCCACAGCCACCAGAGGCCCCATACTATTTCAATGGCTCTGTTTTAATATGGAGACCTTTCCATTGGAACAGACTCTTCATTCCAGCATAGGGACCCCAGATGAGTCAGAGCCCCTCTTCCAGACTTTAATGACATGTTGGTTAAATGGGAGCAGGAAGGCCACAGGTGTTTTGGCATCCACAACATTGAATCCTTAGGGCACAGTTAATGAGTTAATGAGGCGGCTCCTCCTGCCAGGCTGGGCAGGACCTGGCACCCTTCCCCCACCCCACCTAAAGTACTGCCTCGTCCCACCCCCTGTTCTGGCGGTGAGCCTGCTGCAATGAGAGAAATAGGTTAACGCAGCTGGCAAAGGAGAGAAGCATACAGTGGGCCCCACTGCCGCCTGTGCACCTACCAGCCCATGCAGAGCGAGGCAGACACAGGAGGACGGATGTCCCTCTGTCACCGCAGTGTCCCTGACACTGACACACTTTGTCACTCAGCATGTGCTAGGGGACTGAATCACCCGCTACACAGTGCATCCCAGCGCCAGAGCCACCCTGCAGTTGCACTGACGCCAACCAGCTCAGCAACACAGTGCCTGACTGGCCCGCCACGATTGCCAGAAGTCACCATCAGATATGGAACTGTCAGACATCACCGGAGACAAACCCAGCTAGAGTTCTTGGAGTGGCTCCTCAGTTTTGCCAGCCATACATCAAAGTAAAAAAAAAGTCCAGGCATTAGAGTTTAACAATTTAACCCTCTCTGCCTGGCACCTTCCCAAGAGGCAGGTAAACCGAAGGGCTCTGTTTGGCTGGCCCTGGGTCAGGAGCCTGCTGGGACAGTTTCTTGCCAACTTTGAGGTTTGGGAATAGATGTTGAGCTTTGAGCTGGTGTCCGCTGGCTTCAGCAAGGGCTGGGGAGAGGAGACAGGGAGGGGGTGGCTCCATTCTGCCGGGCACAGACAGCTGCCTCAGCATAGAGGGGCTCTGGTAACAGCCAGGGCCAGCGGGCTCTGCTAGCCTGGTCCCTAGGGAGGCTGAAGGTGACACAGGGGCCAAAGCAGGGCAGCTCAAGTTGCTGCCCTGCCCAGCACTTTCCAGAACTGATGTCACCTCTAAGGGGTCAAGTATGCCCCACTGGCAGATGAAGCTAAACAAGAAGCCAACAGGCCCAGGAGTACTTCCTCTTGGCAGGTGCCAGGAGC